CCAAATTTTGGGTTGTCACCAGAACAGGAATTAACTACTTCCTGTCCGGCCATTGTATATAAACGGCCAGACGGTGGCAGTGCAGGGTCGGGTGGCCGTTTATAAACTGCCTCCCCGCACCCTGTTTGTGAGCGCTCCCTGGGAGCGCGCAGCACCCCGATCCAGTGCCCGCTGTGTCCTCCAGACACAGTGAGACACCGATCGTCGAACATGAGCCCTGTACGAGGTCCCGATCATGTGATCACTGATTGGCCAATCATGCAGAGTAGTAAGCAAGATGTCGTTTGTGACATCATTGCTTATTACGTGTGAAATCTGTGAATGATCACAGAGATCACATGGTACAAGGCTATTCACAACTGCCTTCTACCATGTGACAAGCTGTGACCAATCACAGCTCACTCAGTAGTTCTCAATGGCTGCAAGAATGCAGCCAGAGAGAAGGAGGAATGATTGCTTTTACAGCCTTTATGCGTGTAAAAGCAATCAGTGTAAAAAAAAAAAAAAAACTCTTCATCACCCCCCACAAGTAGTACAGTGTCACCATGGTAACACTGTACTGCTAGGGTGACAGTATGTAAAAAAAAAACAAACAAATAATAATATAAAAAAAAAGTTTAAAAATTATAATTTTGGTTATAAACTAATTTGTTTTTTTTTTTTTTTTTTACTATAAAGATAACTGAATAAATTTTGGCCAAGATTTATGATGAAATATTATTTATTTGTAAAATTTTATAAGAAAAAACACTTTTTTTCAAAATTTTTGGCCATTTTCATTTACATAGCAAACAAAATAAAAATCCCAGTGGTCAATAAATACCATCAAAATAAAGCTTTATCTGTCTCAAAAAAATTCATACGGGCACAGTGTTGCATGACCGCGCAATTGTCATTCAAAGTGTGATAGCGCTGAAAGCTGAAAATTGGCCTGGACTGGAAGGAGGTGAACGTGTCCGGACTGGAAGTGGATAAAAGGGAAATCTTCCAATGGGGACACTAGTTTTGGTGACAACCAGGGATTCTGTCACTTTGGGGGATTTATCTCATTTCCTGTTTTGGCTATGGGACAGGAAGTTACAGGAAATCTCCTCAATGGGGACACAGATGGCAAAGAAAACCTGACAGGAGTCATAACCCTCCATTACTCTATTAAAAATGAAAAAAAAATTGTCTTCAGTTCTATTTGAACTTTTAGCTGGTCTGTGGGGGATGACTAGAGATCTTTAGTCCATGTGTGCACGCTCAGGATATTTCCCCTGCATCCACAAGGGCAGAAATGTTTTCAGACTTTTGTGCGTTCCGTCTTTGTGCATGTGTGGGGAAACACGCGTGTGCGCAGATGTAGGAGGAGCCCTGTGCTTGTGCAGATGTGCCGCAGGGATGTCGGGACCTAAAGTCGTGCAGCACATCTGTATATGTACCAAATCTTGGAGAGGGGATGTCCTAGATGTCATTCTTGCTGTACGGCTCCATGCACACTAGCAATTTTTTTTAAGCACCTAGAAGCTGTTATCAGCATTTTTTCTGCTAGAAGCTACATAGTGATTTCCTATGTGTCCATGCACACTACTGTAGGCTGTAGCATTTTTTTGAGCTTTAGTCCTCATACACACTGGGATTTTTTTACAGTGGATGTTTTTGACTTTTGATGTTTTTTTCTACAGCCAGTAAGCCTAGGGGTCCATTCACGCACAGACTGTAATCAGTGTTTTTTGGCTGAAAAAAACCACCCAAAACTAGTGGGTTTCTAAAGGAGTTTTTTTAGCTTTAAAAATGCTCGAACGCTGATAAAAGCTGAAAAATGCAAAAAACGTGGCTATCCAGCATTTCTGATCCTGAAGATTTGTGGGAGTATAGCTTTGCTCAAAAAACACAAGTGCTGAAAAACACAAAAAAAGCTAATGCAAAAATGCTGAAAAACGTGAAAAAAAACTCATGTTCACACTACATGTGTTTCAGTTGCATTTTTTCCGCATCCAAAATGCACAGAAAGTAGGTTATATGGTTGTCAATGTCATAGTTCACATCAGTGCTTGCGGTTGCAGTGCGTTCCGGGTGCAGAAAAAAAAGTAGAACAGGCGGCATTTTCCCTGCGCAGAACTGTACTGGAACGCGGTAAAATGCACCGGAACGCATCAAAAATACACTGGAATGCACATGTTCCTATTTTAATGGAAGAAAAAGAGAGGGGAAAAAATTAACTGGAATGCATAAAACACGCACTGGAATACGTCAAAAACGCACCAAAAAGCATCAAAAACACGCATACAAAAATGCATCCGGACTGTGTTTCTATAGGGTGAACCTGTCCCTCAGTGTCTAAGAGCCGAAAAAAAATTGTTTTTGTAGAGGTTTTTGGAGCATTTTTCCAACAAAAAATAAAAACACTAAGGGCTGGTTCACACTATAGAAACGCAGTCCAGATGCGCTTCGGATGCGTTTCTGCATGCGCGTTTTTGACGCGTTCAAGTGTGGTTTTTGACGCGTTCAAGTGTGTTTTTTTATGCATCCCAGTTCATTTTTTCCCCTCTTTTTCTTCAATTTAAATAGGGACATGTGCGTTCCAGTGTGATTTTGGTGCGTTTTTGATGCGTTTTACCGCATCAAAAAAAAAAATGCAGCCTGTTCTACTTTTTTTTCTGCAACCGGAAGGCACTGGAACAGCATGCAAAAAAACACAACTGAAATGCATGTAGTGTGAACTGGCCCTAACACCCCGGTCACATCGGGTGCGACTTCGCATGCCATGTGACTTGCAAATTATATGCCAAGTTGCACCCTATTGACGGCTATTAGATCGGTCATATTATTATTTATTTCAGGTACTTACATAGCGCCAATAGTGTCAATTTACACAGCACTTTACATATATATTGTACATTCACATCAGTCCCTAACCCTCAAGGGGTGTACAATCTAAGGTCCCTAACTGACATTCATACATACACATACTAGGGACAAGTTAGCATGTCTTTGGAGTGTGGGAGGAAACCGGAGTATCCGGAGGAAACCCACGCAGGCACCGGGAGAACATGCAAACTCCAGGTAGGAGGTGCTGTGGCTGGGATTTGAACCAACGATCCTAGTACTGCCAGGCAAAAGTGCTAACCATTTAGCCACTGTGCTGCCCATATCAGTGCGGTTCTGACTTGGACTTGATTTCTAATGTAATACAAGCACTACTTTTGGTGCGATTTGCATAGACAACTGTGTCAGATGTCTTGCAAATCGCACCTCGAATCGGCAAGTCACCCGACTTTGAAATTGTGCGACTTCACTGTAAGTCACATGATTTCAAAATCGGCTTTGATGTGACCGGGGTGTAAACGCTACAAAAACACTCCTAACAGCTTTTTTTCTAGTTTTTTTTTTTTTTTTCCCCCTCTAGATGTACTATAAAAACTTTACTAAAAAGCTAACGCTCCTGAGCGCTACTAAAACACGCTATTCCCAGCTGGTTTCCCTGTGTTTTTTGAGCATTAAAAAAAATGTTAGTGTTCATGGAGCCTTAGGCTACGTTCACACTAGCCTTGTTTGCAAGCGGCAGACAGGCGTTTGGGAAGCGTTTTTACCGTTTCCCAAACGCCTGGGAAAATTCTGCACATTGCTGTTCAAACGGGAGCATTAGCGTCGCGGCAAAACGGACACCTCTGGTCGAGTCAGGAGGAGTTGAAGCCTTCTATTCAAGTCTATGGTGCCGCTCCGCAGACCCCCAGACGGCGTTTGCGGTGCGGTTGCGACGCGGTTGTGGGGCGTTTGCGGAGCGGTAACACCATTCAAAACTTCATTATAGGCATTTGTGGGAATTTTTAACGCTTGGCAGCCGCTAAAACGCGCATGCGGCGTTTGCGGAGCTCCGCAAACACCGGACCAACGCTTATCAAACGCTATAGGGGCGTTTGGCAAGAGTTGAAAAAACGATCAAGTGTAAACGAGCCCTTAGACAGGCATTTGAGAAGCTTTAAAAATGCTTCTCAAACGCCTATGAAAATTCTACACATGGCAGCACACAGTGCTGTTCACACTGAAGCGTTAGCGTCCCATCACGGCAAAACTGATGCCTCATGTTGAGTCAGGAGGAGTTGAAGCCTCCCATTCAAGTCTATGGTGACGCTCCTCAAACGCCTTGCAGGCGTTTGCGGTGCGGATGCAGGGCTTTTGCGGAGCGTTAATACCATTCAAACTTCATTATAGGCGTTTGTGGGGCGTTTTTAACGCTTGTCAAACGCCTAGCAACTTCCGCTAAACCGCGCATGCGTTTGCGGAGCTCCACAAATGCCGGACCAATGCTTGTCAAAAGCTATAGCCAAGAGTTGGAAAAACAATCAAGTATGAACAAGCCCTTAGGCGTTTGGGAAGCATTTTTAACGCTTCTGAAACGCCTATGAAAATTCTACACGACATCACACAGTGCTGTTCACACTGAAGCGTTAGCATCGCATCACGGCAAAACTGATGCTTCATGTGGAGTCAGGAGGAGTTGAAGCCTCCCATTCAAGTCTATGGTGATGCTCCTCAAATACCTTGCTGGCATTTGTGGGGCGTTTGCGGAGTGTTAATACCATTAAACTTCATTATAGGCGTTTGTGTGTGATTTTAATGCTTGGCAAACGCCTATCAAACGCCTCAAAAACACACGCGGGGGGGAGAAGAGGCGGGGCATGAGCAGGGGCGGACTGACCATTTGGAAACTTGGGCACTGCCCGAGGGCCCGGGGTCAGTAGGGGGCCCCATGAGAGGCCCCTGGTACCTTTTTCATAGGCTTTTTTGAGTTTGGGCAAGGACACAGGGGCCCCATGATCCCCTATTGCCCGGGGGCCCCATGAGTTGTCAGTCCGCCCCTGGGCATGAGGACATTGGAAGCTTTCAAACAGAAAAGTCTGCAGATTCCATAGAATAAAGAACATCATTGCACTCCCTGCTGGGTGGGAACTTTGGTGTTGCGGAACCATGTAGCGCTGCTCTCGGTTCTACTGGGGGAAGAATGTGGGTGCACCCAACAGGGGAGTGAATTTTGGAGCGCACAGCTGGAAGCAAGGTGGAAGCTGCCGCAGGTGTAGTATGTGTTTTGCAGAGAGTGAGCTTTATTTGTGACTGCTGCCTCCAGCTCTGATTTCCTGGGCTGCCTGCCTGTATATTGTAGTTATTGGTGTCTCTCCCTATATAGAGTGATAATATGGACTCCTGTGCACCCTGCATGTGTCTTCCTCCATTCATGAGTTGGATAGACATACAGCTCCTGTTTGGACTCCTAGTCCTACCAGCATCTCTTAGTACATGCTGACACTTGTAGTCCTACAAGGACAATAGAAACACACACACAGCTGGCAGTGGGCTCTGTTTTGCAGGGAATGGTCGTCTTTTTGGGAACAAAGCCTTTTTTCCCCTTTAAGTGAATCCATATCCTAAGACTACATTTAGATGTATGGTTTGGGGGGTTCAAAAATATGCAGTTAAGTTGTGTTTTTAGCACCCTCCCGCACTAAGCCCTGGTTCACAACAAATGCAATTTCAAACCGGTGCGACTTGGTCCCATTAACGCACGGCTTTGAAGTAGCGCTGATATTGACACGGGTGTGATTTCAGTCCATTTACCTTATAGTCTATGAGAATGAAATCGCACTGAAGTGAAATTGTAGCGCAAGAACAATGTTTTAACTTGCACCTAGTAAAGCGGTAGTAAACTGCATCCAAAATAAAAAACCCTGCAAGGTAAAGGCATAATGTGTTGGTATGTATTGCCTACTAGCACATTATAAAGGACTTGCCTTGAAACAAAGTCCTCCAGCGGCACACTGTCATGGCTCCCCAGCGCTTCCATCTTCACCCAGTCTTCCCTCCAGGTTCGTGAGCTCTGGCTGGCTGACTGAACCACGATGACGTCACTCCCGTATATGGGATTCCCGGGCCATGGCACAGTGCTCTATTGGAACTGCACGGGTATGCCATTCCTTCAGAGTGCATTTTCCGGCTATCAAAAAGGGCTAATATCTCCTAAACGGCGCACAATTAGGAGATATTTTTACCTACAAGTAAGCTTTATTATGAGCTTACCTGTACGTACAATCAGGGTGGATAAAAATCAATGATTTTTTTTTAAAAAAAAAAATTAAAAAAAAATCTGATTTTTTTGATTTAAATCGGAATTTTTTTATTTAAATCAGATTTTTTTAAATAAAATGCTTTTTGAGGAAAATATATTACCATCCAAAGGTTATTCCATCATGAAATAAAGATTAGTTTTTTAATTATGTAGATAAGGCTGTATATGTTTATTTTTTTTGGTAAATAAATTCCATTACTACATTCACAATGTCATGCTCTTCCAGAGGTTTTTGTAAGATTATTGGGCAGTTTCTCTGCCTACAAGATATTATCACAGATGTTGGTTTACTTTTGCAGTTCTCAAAACTGAATTTGACTCAGCGGAGATCACATGCCTCTTCTTCACAGCAAAAATGTTTTAACATGAACAGAGTTAAGAAAAAGACCTTCATCCTAACTTCTACAAACCTATGAATACAGAATCAACCCCTTCACTGCTAAGTTTCAAGAAGTTCAGTGAATAGAATAGAAACAATATTTTTCTGATTGTTTGGAGTGGAATAGATCTGCACAAGAAGAAAGTGAAACTAAGTGTGAGGAGGAAGGGGCTGACAGTCTAAGTTTCCTAAAATATATATATTTTGTTTAGCCAAATTAGTTAACAAACATGGATGTTTAAGCAAATCACATATGATGGAATGTTATTGTTTCAGTTGAATAAATCTATTTAAATTGTTATTATTAAGGGAATGATTATTTTTCTCCTTCCTAAGTACAACAGAAAAGTTGTCCAAATATGAATGATTAACCTATTAAACTGGGGATAAAAAAACTAATATGAAAAGTTGTTATTCTAAAATCTTCATCTACTTGCATATTAAAGTTATACCAGCAAGAATTAGTCTATGTAGAAAACTAGGATTTAAATCAAGCCTTACTGACTAGTGATTTAAATCAGTTTTATTTAAATCAAATCCACCCTGCGTACAATTATTAAAGAAGAGTTTACTACCGCTTTAAGATGGTGCCATAGAAATACATTAGATACCACAGAAACCACTAAGCAGCTCATCCTCTCCCTCATCATATCACGACTCGACTACTGCAACTCCCTCCTCACTGGCCTGCCCCACCACAGGCTATCCCCACTTCAGTCGATCCTGAATACGGCAGCCAGACTCATTCACCTTTCCAACCGCTACGTTTCCGCCACCCCCCTCTGCCAATCCCTCCACTGGCTTCCGATTGCCCAACGGATCAAATTCAAAATCCTAACACTGACGTACAAAGCTGTCCACCATACTGCCCCGAACTACATCACTGACCTAATATCCAAATACCACCCAAAACGCACTCTCTGCTCCTCACAAGACCTCCTTCTCTCCAGTTCCCTGGTCTCCTCCTCCCATGCCCACCTCCAGGACTTCTCCAGGGCATCACCCATCCTCTGGAAATCCCTACTCCAATCCACAAGACTATCACCTACTCTCCTCTCATTTAGGTGCACCCTGAAAACCCATCTCTTCAGGGAAGCCTACCCTGCCCCCTGCTAATTGCCGACCTCCTCCACTCTTCCTACCACTCCATCCCCCACAGCTTTTCCTCCCGTACCACTATCCCCTCCCTCCTAGATTGTAAGCTCCAAGGAGCAGGGCCCTCGAACCCCTCGTGTATCGCATTGTATTGGTGCAACAAGTCACACCCTATTTGTGCCTACAGAACCGTTCAAATCGGTGCAGCTCCAGCTTTGCAGTGGGGCAACGATTTTGTAAAAAGGTTACTGCACTATTTTTGGCGGTTTCATGTGCGGCTTGCATAAACATTTGTGGAGTTGCACAGATGTCGGGTAAGCCGCACATGAAATTGCACTGATGAGTGGCTTTGAGATCGTGCTACTTGGAGTAAAGTAGCACAATTTCAAAGCCACATTAGGTGTGAACCTTTAGTAAAATAGGTGTCACATTGCCTCCTTACTGCCTGTCGATTGCCTCCTTACTGCCTGTCGATCACTCTTCATTCATCTCTATGGCTTGGCTACAAATCGCAGAAGGAAAGTGATTTCTAGCAGAGCACAACCCAATGCTGTAGCACCATCACCAGCGACTCTAGTGCTTGAAGCCCATCTCTGGGGAAAAAAATACAAACCCACCTTTGCCGTAGGGCTGCATTGGAAGGGTTAAATGCTTGTTTAGGGTACCAGGAAAAGCAGTTGTCTCTCTCCTCTGCTCCGCTGTTCTCTGGCAGTTGACTGTCCTCAGCATCCTTTTATTCTGTGCAGGGCTATGGGCTCTGCATTGTACCTGAGGGCCGGGAAGGGGGCAGGAGAGGCAGCTGTCCTGGGTGCAGTGTCTGTATGTGTTGAGAGGAGATGAGCACCATGAGGTAGTAGCCTGTAGAGTACATTCAACTGAGCCGAGCGCCTGCCCTCACCCCTTCCATCCTTTACTGACCCACCCTGCTACCTGGGGGCTGCCCTACATGAGCAGAGGAGCAGTGATGTCTGTGGAGGAGAGATCCATTGTCTACACCAGTGGCTTACTAGGGGGGTGCAGTCCACACTGGTTACGGAACTATGGGGGTGCCCTCCACCCAACATTTTTGTTTTGCACTTTGCAACTGTCAGACAGGCAGAGGCTGCGCTGTAGTGCTAGTATCATAGATCCCAGCTGCAGAAGACGATTAGGGGTGCCCACATCAGGGGGAGCAGTGTGGCAGCTTCGTCCACGACACTGGATGACCTCGTCCCGGCCGGCACTGCTTGATGATGTCAGAGGACCTGTGACCAGTACAAGGTCACCGAGAGCCCAGGGAAAACATGCCAAATTGTGCCCCCCCCCCCCATCCTCAAATATGTTTGAGTATTATGTGTCAATAAAAATCCCGCCCCCCAACAAAAAAAAAATAAAAAATCAAGCACTAATCTGCATGCTTACCCCTAAGTGCAAATTCCTCTTTCTTCTTTCAGTTCAAATCTGCCCCCCTGCTGAATTCTCCCCTTCCAGCACGGATCTTTACCCCCCAGCTCAAATTCTCTCTTGCTGTATGCCCCCAACACAAATCCCCCCCAAAAGAAAATTTTCCCCTCCTAGAATAATTCTTACCCCAATACCCCCCCCCCCCCCTCCAAATTCCCCTTTTCAACACAAATCTCCTCCTCCCAATTTCCTTGTGGTGCCCCCCCATCTCACCTGATACCACAGTGCCCAGGGCAGCCACCCCTTGTCCCGGCCCTGTCTGTTACTACTGGACCACAGAGGAGGAGAAGTGACCACGGTCACCAGTCTAGCAGCACAGAGGGATCCTGCAGGACTGGAGAATTGTTTTTTCCTGGAGTCTAGCTTTAAATTGCAAGCTCTTAGTCTCCAGCATTAGCTGTATATAGCAGCAGTTAACCTCTATTACAAAATCTCAGTGTAACATCAGCCTAAGGCTTCCATGCTTCCACACAATTGGTTTCCTTTAACCAGTCTTTTTTTTTTTTGTCTGTGAAATTTTTCTGCTTTGTCTGTAACTAGTAACATGGCAGTGGTGTCCCTTCCCATATTCCTTTTTCTAAGAAGTGTCCTTCCCATTTCATCTGGGAAAGGTGGGGGCACACTTTGCTGCAGAGCTACAGTGAAGGAAATAAGTATTTGATCCCCTGCTGATTTTGAATGTTTGCCCACTCACAAAGAAATGATCAGTATACAAATCGAATGGTAGGTGTATTGTAACACCGAGAGAGAGAAAAGCAACACAAAATTCAAAAGAAATGCATGTCTAACAAATGATGCACTGATTTGCATGTTCATGAGGGAAATAAGTATTTGATCCCCTTCACAAAACATGACTTAGTACTTGGTGGCAAATCCTTTGTTGGCAATCACAGAGGTCAGATGTTTCCTGTAATTGGCCACCAGGTTTGCACACATCTCAGGAGGGATTTTGGCCCACTCCTCTTGGCAGATCCTCTCCAAGTCATTAAGGTTTGGTGGATGATGTTTGGCAACTCAAACTTTCAGCTCCCTCCACAGATTTTCAATCGGATGAAGGTCTGGAGACTGGCTAGGCCACTCCAGGACCTGAATGTGCTTCTTCTTGAGCCACTCCTTTGTTGCCTTGGCCGTGTGTTTTGGGTCATTGTCAAGCTGGAACACCCATCCACAACCCATTTTCAATGCCCTGGCTGAGGGAATAAGGTTCTCGCCCAAGATTTGATGGCACATTGCCCCGTCCATCGTCCCTTTGATGGGGTGCAGTTGTCTTGACCCCTTAGCAGAAAAAAACACCCCCAAAGCAGAATGTTTCCACCACCATGTTTGACAGTTGGGATGGTGTTCCTGGGGTCATAGGCAGCATTCCTCCTCCTCCAAACACAGCGAGTTGAGTTGATGCCAAAGAGCTCGATTTTGGTCTCATCTGACCACAACACTTTCAGCCAGTCCTCCACTGCATCATGCAGATGTTCAGTGGCAAACTTCAGCCGGGCCTGGAAATGTGCTTTCTTGAGCAGAGGGACCTTGCAGGCACTGCAGGATTTCAATCCTTGTCGGCTTAGTGTGTTACCAATTGTTTCCTTGGTGACTGTGGTCCCAGCTGCCTGGAGATCATTGACAAGATCCTCACATGTAGTTCTGGGATGATTCCTCACTGTTCTCATGATCATTGACACTCCACGAGGTGAGATCTTGCATGGTGCACCAGACCTAGGAAGACTGACAGTTGTTTTGTGTTTCTTCCATTTGCGAATGATTGCACCAACTGTTGTCACCTTCTCACCAAGCTGCTTGGTGGTAGTTTTGTTGCCCAGTCCAGCCTTTTGTAGGTCTACAATCTTGTCCCTGACATCCTTGGACAGCTCTTTGCCATGGTGGAGAGTTTGGAATCTGATTGTTTGATTGCTCCTGTTGACAGGTGTCTTTTATACAGGTTAAAAAAAAAAATTAGATTGGCAGCACTCCATTTAAGAGACTGCTTCTAATCTCAGTTTGTTGCCTGTATGAAAGCCACCTGGTAGCCAGAAATCCTGCTGATTGATAGGGGATCAAATACTTATTTCCCTCATGAACATGCAAATCAGTGCATCATTTGTTAGACATGCATTTCTTTTGAATTTTTTGTTGCTATTCTGTCTCTCAGTGTTACAATACACCTACCATTCGATTTGTATACTGATCATTTCTTTGTGAGTGGGCAAACATTCAAAATCAGCAGGGGATCAAATACTTATTTCCTTCACTGTATATACAAATATCATTGCTCAGGTTGACGTTTAATCATGAATGCAATTTAGTGACACATGTTTTTTCCTTTTTTTCTTTGAATAGTTTTTGCCTTCATTCAGCAATGCCCTGAGTAACTCTCTGGTGATCATCAAGAAGCAGTGTTGGACAAACATGGAGGAGGTGAGTGTAAAGCTGGCTATACACAGGGCAATTGTCCGACAATTTGAAGCAGTAAAAATGGTTCCATCCGAAACTTCTTTACTGTAGAGTTGGTAAGAATCAGACCATCTGTCATGTTTTTATTGCTGTTCCTGTTCTCATCTGAGACTTTTCTAGTTGCTTTCTGTACTAGTGACACTAGGATAGGAAATGAGAGTTTGCAGGTGTCACTGTGACAGGAAATTGGAAAGGGCAATAAAAACCTGACAGATGTTCAAACCCCTCTGCACAGTGATAAACAAATGTTCTTTTGTTGCTTTTACATCAAAAAGAAACCCCATCACTTCCTGTTCTGGTAACACCAATATCACCAGAAGAGGAGGTTAGGAGAAATCTTCCCAATTGGGACACAAACAAACCTTACAAAAATTCTCACCTTCCCTCCTCTATACAAAATAAAGTTTTGGCTCAAGTTTAGTGGGAATTTTCGGTGGCAGGTTGCATCGATCAATTTGATTGTTGGCTTTGATCTGAAGCTGGTTGAAATTGCTATCTAATATAGGGCAGGAAGTGCTGTCAGGGAACTACAAGTCCATGAGAATGCAGCTGCCTGGTAATTATACAGCAACTAGAGGGCTAAAGGTTGCACAGGATGCATATTTATTTATTACAGGTACTTGTATATCGCTGTCAATTTATGCAGCGCTTTCCACATATATCTTGTATATTCACATCAGTCCCTAACAGGGGCGGACTGACCATTTGGGAACTCGGGCACTGCCCGAGGGCCCGGGGTCAATAGGGGGCCCCATGAGATGCCCCTGGTACCTTTCATAGGCTTTTTTGGATGTGGTTTAAGTGTGGGCGAGGACACAGGGGCCCCATGATCCCCTATTGCCCAGGGGCCCCATGAGTTGTCAGTCCGCTCCTGGTCCCTAACCCTCAAGGAGTGTACAATCTAAGGTTCCTGACACATTCATACCCCCACATACTAGGGCCAGTTTAGTCAGGAGCCAATTAACCTACCAGCATGTCTTTGGAGTGCGGGAGTAAACCCACGCAGGCACAGGGAGAACATGCAAACCCCAGGCAGGTGGTGCCATGGTTGGGATTCGAACCAATGACCCTAGTGCTGCTAGGTGGAAATGCTAACCATTTAGCCACTGTGCTGCATATTTGTTACACAGGCTTCACTCTCAAATCAGATCAACCTCAGCATGAGATCTGCTTAGGCTGCGTATAAAAACACATTCACTTTTTCCACTTTTAGGCCTTGTCAGGGGCGGACTGACAACTCATGGGGCCCCCGGGCATTAGGGGATCATGGGGCCCCTGTGTCCTTGCCCAAACTCAAAAAAGCCTATGAAAAAAGTACCAGGGGCATCTCATGGGGCCCCCTACTGACCCCGGGCCCTCGGGCAGCGCCCGAGTTTCCAAATGGTCAGTCCGCCCCTGGGCCTTGTGCACACAGATTTCAGTCTGCAGAAGATCAGTGTATACTGTAAGCACTTACAAAGCTGCCCATTCACTGTACAATCAGAATTTGTTCAATCTTTAGATATACCAAAACATATGTAATATAAGGACATAGCTAAACATCCTATTCAATTTGTATTCAATCCAGCATGCCCTTGCACTACATACTTGGTGGAAGATCTAAAAACAATTGTACAATCAGTTTATATAGTATAATCTATGGCCTTCCTAAGGCATTTGCAAAGCTTTGAGCAGCTATTTTGAAACCTTTCAAGCAATATTCAGTTCCATATTGGTGGATGTTAAATATGGATCATTTTGGAAATAATGACTGATTGTTTAAACAATTTGCTAGGAGTTTTAAAGGAAACCTGATGTGAGATAATACTGGAAACTACCATTGCTGACTAGTTGCCTGGCTTTCATGCTGAGGAGCGGGCTTCAATGCATCCTGGATCAATAGCCAAGTATAGAAATAACGACTGCCAACACTTTTTTTTGACACACATGGTAGTGATGCACGAGCTGGTAGGAGGAACCACAGTGGCTGGCAATGGGAGCTTCTGTGTAGCAAAGAAGTGCAGGGGCTTTTTCCTACACAGGCTGCTTTATAAAAACCATCTCTTTGGGGAAACCCATTTCTCCTCAATCTAAAAAATTAACTCTTGAGCTGGTCATAGTTGCATTAAAATTCGGCAAGTTCAGCAGGGATCAGCTGAAATTGATCCATCTATAGCCGTTCCCGCTCAACCACCAGTAGGTGAACTAACAATCGACTTTTGTTGAATGGGAATGTTGGAAAGCTTTTGTTGATCAGCAACAGCAGCTGCTAGTTAATGTATTCTGATGGTGTAGAGGTCCCATTGTCAGAATACAATGGCACAGCGGGGAGGATTCCTCCATCCACCTCACCTTTGTGGATGGGGGAATTTTGTTAATCCATGAGAAGCTTTAAGCTGACCATTTATGGATCCAAATTTTGCCAGTTCAGCAACCCTGTTGATTTGGCTTTAGAATAATCTGTGACCATTTCCACCCGACAGAAGTCGATCTAATGATTGACTTCTGTGGAATGGGACTGTTGGAAAATTTTTATTCGATCAGTGGCTGCACCGTTTATCACTGTGTTGTGACAGCGGAGTAATACCTGCTGTCAGAATACAGTTGCACTGCAGGGAGGATTTCTCCTTCCCCCTTGCCCTTCCTTTTTAGATTGTAAGCTTTCACAAGCAGGGCCCTCCTTACCCTTTTGTCTTGAATTGTATTGTAACTGTAGTGGATTCCTTTTATGCTGTAAAGTGCTGTGCAGACTGTTATTTATTTATTATTTATTTCAGGTACTTATATAGCGCCGTCAATTTACGCAGCGCTTTACATATCTATTGTACATTCACATCAGTCCCTAACCCTGAAGGGGCGTACAATCTGAGGTCCCTAACTCACATTCATACATATACATACTAGGGCCAATTTAGACAGGATCCAATTAATCTACCAGCATTTGGAGTGTGGGAGGAAACCGGAGCACCTGTAGGAAACCCACACAAGCACAGGGAGAACATGCAAACTCCTTGCATGGTCGGGAATCAAACCCATGACCCATTTACTGCAAGGCAGACGTGCTAACCACTAAGCCACTGTGCCGCCCTGTTGGCACTATATAAATCCTGTGTAGTAGTAATAAGTGCTTCTCTTACAGATGGGTTTTTGTAAAAGTGAGCCTGTGGTGATGGGGTGAATCTAATATTTGGAGCTGGGAGTTCTGCTATGAAAAGTGTCTAGTTTATATTTGTAGTTTTCCTTCTTTTAGGCTGCCAATTGCAATAAAAAAAAATTACTCTAACCCTTTAACTGTCATTGTTTTATTTTTTCTTGGCTGAGAAAGTTGATCGATCAAGATCTGAATGGATGAGGTGGGCTACAGCACTTGTTCTTTCCATTGCCTTTAAAGTGATATTAAAGAGGTTATACTTAACTGCTCTTTGCAGCAGTATTGTAGAGAAAGGTCCCTTACTTCCTCTTTGGCAGTCTGGTGCTGTCTGCTCCTTCCTCCTTTGGGACCTTCTCAGCAAGCTAGGTGCTATGGAGGCACCCATGTCTACTCGCTGCCAAGCTGTGCTGTGTATATCTGTAGACATTTATGAACGCACACAGCGCAGGTAAGCTATGCTCCCCCCCCCCCCCCCCCCCCCCCCGCTCCCTCCTCACAGGAGTTTGTCCACAGCAGCTCCTAACTGGTCCAGCAGTCTCCTGGGACCTGTGAAAGTTCCCTGGAGACTGCGGAAGGAAGGAGGGGGCCAAACATCCGGCTCACTTCACCGCAGTGTTTGGCAGTGGAGGGGGGAGGAGGCAAAGAGGTAAAAAAAAAATGTGACTTTACAGCCACTTTAATTAATGAACCGGAGGTGTTGCAGTTTTAATATAACAGAATTAACCATTTCTTTCTAGGCTCCGCAAGGAACGTTTCAAGATGAGCTGGACTGGTGTATCCAACAATTAGAAACTGGCCTCCTGCGGCGCAATCCAACCCCACAGCAAGGTGAGCATGTGAGATAATTCAGAGGAAACCTATTGTTCTCTAGTTGTTACTGAACCCAGTAAAATCAGTCTGTATATGCAGTAAAGCATGCTTGTTATACTCACTTTGGAACTGAAGGGGTTAATCCTCTGCATTGTTTAAAAAGGTTATTTGATCCTGTCTTCTCTGATCCTCCCCTTCTTCCACTGTCCCTAATCCATTTGCTGATAGAACAGAGCCTTGGGAACAAGCTGCACATGCACAATTTGGTGTGTATTGCTAGAGTTTTTTTTTTTTTTTTTTTTTCTTGGGAGAGTGCATGTGATCAACACAGGGCCAATTGGCACTGTACAGACAGAGAGTCGGGTTATGTAGCCTCATAGGACAATCAGGGGAGAATGAAAATTCCTCCTACAAGCTTTAACCAGTTCTCTGCTGAACACTGATAGAATTCACTAGACTCCAATATACTGCTGATGAGAAAAGGTGTTTAGCAGTTTATATTTACTAAAATAATTGTATTTCTATGTTCTGCGTGCTGTGGGAGACCAGATATAGTGAATGCAGGGTCCTGGGTTTAGTAAATGTTTAAGACAGGCATGTCCAAAGTCTGGCCCGCGGGCCATTTACGGCCCGGGGGTCGGTTTAATACAGCCCTCCAACAGCCCTCCCTGCTCTGTGTAATGTGGCCTTCCCACGGCCCTCCCTTCTATGGCAGACAGTCTTCTGCTTGAGAGCAGAGGGCAGTGCGCATGCCTGACTGCGGCGCGTTCTCCCTGGTCTGTGTAAATGCGGCTGTCGCACGGCCCTCCCTTCTGTGGCAGACAGTCTTCTGCTTGAGAGCAGTGCGCATGCGTGACTGCACCGCGCTGGGAGCGACAGAGGGCGGTGACGTCAGGGCCGGGCTTCCAGCGTGAAGTGTGTTTCTCTTCCCTCCCGGCTGCCGAGCAGAGACTTGAGCTCCAGCTACCTTTTTCACCCTTCACATCAGTGCAGGTAAGTTTTTTTTTTAAATTTATTTTCAATACATTGTGAAAACTCAGCTGTCAGTTGATCTTAATGTTATGAAATGAAAAGTATGTCGTTTGCCATTAACTTGGCATAAAATAATTTATTTGCATTTAATTGTAATGGTTCAAAGAATGTTCGGAAAAATGTTCGGCCCTCCACCATGTTCACTTCATCCAATCTGGCCCTCTTTGAAAAAAGTTTGGACACCCCTGGTTTAAGAGGTCAGTCTACCCAAAGTTTATATTTTTCTCTGTCCTTAGCGTATGTAAACTTTATTTTTATAATTCAAAAAAATTGTTGGTAACCTGTCTTCAGACTCTTTGCACTTCTGCAAATTGTGTTGTTCTTCGCAGCTATACCACCTCTTTTCTCAGAACAGACAGCCTATCCCTTCTTACTGTTGCTGGGTGACACCAGATCATTAACAGGAGCTGTGGTGTCAATTGTTGGTGATTGTACATAATTGTACACATAGCTGGCACATGCTACCTTGAAGTGCATAGTGGGATGAATTAGAGCACAGCCTCCACTCCCAGGTGCCTTCATGTCATGCATATGCACTTCAGACAATGTGCTTTGCATTCTGGGAACTGTAGTCCTTTCGCCACTGTCACATGACAATAAGTAACTGAAGTAGCAAGAGAACTGAGATATATATATATATATATATATATATATATATATAAATTTTTTTTTTTTACCAACCAATTTAGCTGTTGGGGGCATGCTATGCAAGAATATTATGTTTATTTTAATAGGAGGATTTAGTTCTGCTAAATTTATACGTAAACCAAATCACTAAAATTTTAGCCTGTCAATTTAATTTTCTATATTTTTGATCTGGGCAGCACAGAGGCTAAATGGTTAGCCCTTCTGCCTGGCAGTACTAGGGTCGCTGGTTCGAATCCCAACCACGGCACCACCTGCCTGGAGTTTGCATGTTCTCTCTGTGACTGTGTGGGTTTCCTCCGGGTATTCCGGTTTCCTTCCACGCTCCAAAGACATGCTGGCAGGTTAATTGGCTCCTGTCTCAATTGGCCCTAGTATATGTATGAATGTGAGTTAGGGACCTTAGATTGTACGCACCCCTTGAGGGTTAGGGACTGATGTGAATGTATAATATATATGTAAAGCACTGCATAAATTGACGGCGCTATAGAAGTACCTGAAATAAATAAATAAATCTTCAGCATTCATTAAAATTAACTGGTGATCCTGCCATGACAGTTCTTGTTCAGGCACTTGCTGGTATGGGTTGACAATGCTCTGTCTTCCATTTGTGATCCTGGGTTGTCACCCTGTCACGTGCCTTCCCAATGTAGATGCACAAATATACAAAATTGATTTAAAACCATCTTTAATAAATAAAAAGTAAACCACCGGAAGCGGAGGAGGTTGATGACAGCTGCATTGTGCATGCCTGATAAGTAACCATATTGTTCTGTTCATGAAAACCAGTGTGTACTGGTTTTTGTGGCAGCCAAAATTTTAAATAATGTGCGGGTCTAAAACACAGCAATATCATGAGAAGTCGAGAGAAAAGTAAATATGACGGATAAAATGAAGACTACACAACAAATATGTTACTGGTGGAAAATGTTGTAGATAGGCTGACATATGCTTTTTCCTGCTTAAAATGGTGTGTAATTTATTTTTAATAGCACAAGATACTCAGAGGATACTGCGGGTCCTGCGTTCTCGAAATGCCCCCTTTGTGAAGAAGAGGCAGGTCATGAATCGGGTCTTTGGAAACTACCATCTTAAAAAATAGAAGAGGAGAGAAAACAAAAAGAAAAAGCAGGTATGCCGTTTTGGAATAGCTGAGAATAGAGAATCATTCCTCCCACACAGAAATTGCAGATGAGTTTCGGTGCCCTTTGAACTCCTCTCTAACCTGAACTCAGAACTCTTGCCTTTTGGTACTCCATTGAGCTGCAGACTGGATCATTCTCTATCCCGCAACTTACTTGAGCAGTGGTACTCAACCTTCCTAATGCCACGACCCTTTAATACAGTTCCTCATGTTGTGGTGACCCCCAACCATAAAATTATTTACCCAGTAATTATAATTCATGAGTGTCGTTTTACCTCCAATACTGCTGCTTTCAACACAGTAGCTGCTTTTAACAGAGTAGCTGCTTTCAACACAGCAGCTGCTTTCTACACAGTAGCTGCTCTTTACACATCGGAAATATGTGTTTTCCGATGGTCTTAGGCGACCCCTGTGAAAGGTTTGTTTCGACCCCCAAATGGGTCGCGACCCACATGTTGAGAACCACTGTACTTGAGGATTGATCCAGCCCATGGCTTATTGATCCATTGATCTTTACTGTGATGGACCGCCTGTCACCCCAATTGGGTGATTCCGGCAGAGAACTGCTTCCTCTCCACTGGGACACAGGACCAAAGTATTATAGCTGGGCATCGCACCCGAGACTAGGTGTTACTAGCTTAGGTGCAACAACTGGAACGCCTTTATTGAACAGAAATACAGGTTTTTGTTGTTCAAATATTTTATTGAAGGTAGCATAACTGAATTGGCGATTACAGATCTAGAGATGCAAGTATAGAATCTCAACAGGAGATAACCATATTAATAGTAACCATTCAAAAAATGCCATGAGGGTGTTTGTATATGGTGGGGACGCACTCCCTAGCAGAAAGAGCAAAAATAATATTCATGGAAAGAATACATTGTAGACAAGTTTATACCTTGGTCGGTATATAGAAGGCAGCTACAGGTCAGGACGAGGTTAGAGGTATGTGATGATGAGCATAGCAATTCAGTTGAGTGAAGTATTTCTGATATATTTGTTTCCTTAACCGGGGGGGGTATTGAACTGTAGGTATCGCAGTTAGTATAGTGAAGGGTAAAATACAGGTTTTTCTACACTAAGAAATAGGGGCAGTCCCCACAGGAACAATAAAAACAATTATTACACATTGGGTTAAAAATCGCACACTGAAAAGAAACGGAGGGGGATCAGTGCTCTTCCATTTAGGCACTCAAAGGGTAGTCGGGTGATACAGACAGTGGAGTCCGTTTACTCCCAGTCTCCCAAAGAGTAGAGTGGGCTCTGTCAATGTCCGCTCTGCAGAAACGGTGTGTCATCTGCCCGGTCTTCTCTGATCAGCACAGGATTAGCTCACTGATCCCCTGCTATTCGGAATCAAATCCTTCCCTTGTGAAAGGGGCCTTAGTCTTTTTTCTGCCTATTTGTTTTGGGTTAGTGACTTGAGTATGAAAGAAGAGACCCGGCATGACAGCCAAGTAATAAGTAATTGCAGAATTATATTCAACAATAGAAGCCTCCATATTTCTCTCAGACAAGGTTTCCTGTCAATGACATGTCAGAACTATCAGTGCACAAGCGCGTGTTGATAGGTCACAGGGGGAACATATATCTCAGCACTCGGTACTGTGTTTTTGTTTTTTAACCTTGTGGATTCTACCATTAGTCTTCGACTGTTGTTTTATGTTTCCTTTAAGCCAAAACATCTCCTCCAGTTCAGATCCAAGAAGTGGCCCATCCAGATTCTCGCAGTGTGGCCTACAGGAAGTGCCCCAGGGATGGCCAGAGCACCAGTACACATTGGTTCACACCGTCTGACAACAGTTTTGGCTTCAAATTCTGCTCAGAACAAACTGATGACCTTGATGGAATTGGGCCAGGAAATACAGAGGACAGTCAAGCCAAGTGTAGGCAGATCGAAGTCAACAGCAAAAGTATCATGTTGTTCACTGAGGAAGGGTCCGGCTTCACCTTTAATTTCCAGATCCCCGAGGATACAGCATCTTCACCTCAGAACTGTGAAGGTCACGTGTCTCCTGTGGACATGTCAGGTGACCAGTCCAACACTAATCATTCATTATCGACAGTCAGAAATGTAGCAGAGCCACAGGAAGCATCATCACAGAGTGTGTCTATTGTGGAAGATGCTTCTGGGTTATCGGCCAATCAGAACTTAATGCTGGAAGCTGCTGTGCAAAGTCTAACTGACTCTTCAAAGACAAAAAAGAAGAAAAAGGCTCAGAAAAAGAATAATTCTGCCCAGGTAGAGAAGAAAGTTGAGGAACACAAAGCAGATACAGATAAATCATCTCCAGCTAAAGAAGATGGTCAGATAAGATGGTTGACAGATGTAGGTATTTAAAAATGGGCCTTGAATACTCAATAAGGAATTTAAATGTATTTTTTTTTTAAATTACACAAGTTATGTATTGATGTAAAGCAGCCTTGGCCACCCATTCATTCTTGTGGCATTGAAAATGCCGAACTGATAAGACCTCCTGGTGCTAAGAGAGTCCCTGATATGCTAGTTATGTGATGTCAAGACCTTCCCTCCTACTGATGGGTGTGTGCCTCAGCTTCATAAACTTGAACAAGCATAAAGGGTAACAAAGCCAGTGAGGAAGCTTTCTTTAGTTATTTATGACAAGCCTAGAATATGTTCTCTGTTGGAAATCCAGTATGATTAAATAGACCACATATGGGTACTAGCCAGCCAGGTATGCATATTCTTTAAAGTGTTACTAAACCCCGGACCCTGCATTCACTATATCCGCTCTCCCCAGACCCCGCATTCACTATATCCGCTCTCCCCGGACCCTGCATTCACTATATCTGGTCTCACCAGACCCCGCATTCACTATATCCGCTCTCCCCGGACCCTGCATTCACTATATCTGGTCTCCCTGGACCCTGCATTCACTATATCCGCTCTCCCCGGACCCTGCATTCACTATATCCGCTCTCCCCGGACCCTGCATTCACTATATCTGGTCTCCCCAGACCCCGCATTCACTATATCCACTCTCCCCGGACCCTGCATTCACTATATCCGCTCTCCCCAGACCCCGCATTCACTATATCCACTCTCCCCGGACCCTGCATTCACTATATCTGGTCTCCCCAGACCCCGCATTCACTATATATCCGCTCTCCCCGGACCCTGCATTCACTATATCTGGTCTCCCACAGTACACACAACATGGAAATGCAATTATTTTAGTAAATATAAACTGCTAAATACCTTTACTCATCAGCAGTTAGAGCAGTCTTGTGACTTCAGCAGAGCACTGGTTAAAGCTTGTAGGAGGAGTTTTCTTTCTGCTCTAGGAGGATGCAGAACCCCTGACCTCTATCTGGACAGTGCTGATTGACCCTGTGTTGATCACATGCATTCTCACAAGAACAAAAAAAAAAAAATACCTCTCTAGCAATACACACTAAGCTGAGCATGTGCAGAAGGGCTACAGGTTCAGTCTGTCTTATCAGCGTGGACATTTGAACAAGAGGAGGGGCAGAGAAGACAGGATCAAAAAGCCTTTTTACACAATGCAGACGATTAACCCCTTAGGTTCCACAGTGAGTATAACAAGCATGCTTTACTACATATACAGACTGATTTTACTGTTGTGGGTTTAGTAACACTTTAAGCAGAGTAGAATAATAAAGTAATCGTTCCTTTGCCAGTGTTTTACTAAACTGGAAATGATCAACTTCACAGCAGCATGCTGTATGAGACAACCATGCATGTTATCCAAAAATTGAGATTCACATCCAACTGCACTTCACATGCTCAGCTAACGTTGGCTCTACTTTCACCCTGTTGAGCAGGCAGGACTGAGGAGAGAATATCTGACTTAATGTACAAGTCCCAAGTTAGAGCTTACATAGGGCTAAGGAGGATGTCCCCACCTTCGTGTGATAGCACTGGGTGTCTGAGCGGCCAATCACCAGCTCTATGACATTGAAGAAAGTGACGTGAGTCACATACGCCACGTATACAAAAGTATTAGGTAATTCTCTTTTCTCCTGATGGCTGAACAGGATAGGGTAAAGAAGGTGGGTACGTGCGGATGAACGATAGAAAACTTGATTTCCTTGCATGGGAAAAGCATAGGTTCACTTTTAAATAGTGGAGCGCTGATATTAAATGCTAGTTAAGGACAGGTTAACGTATTGCAATATATAAATGGTGCAAAGGTGACTAATGGTGTCATAAATACACACACATAAATACTTATAGCAGTGATACAGTGTATGTGTACATAAATCAAACCATAATTAATATTATATGAAAGTCCATGGCGAAGAACGTCCGCATAAGGTGACCAAAAAACACAGCAAGCTATGTGGGGTGATCACAGTGCCACACGTTGTATAGACAAATCCACAAGTGACCAAGATGGCTCCTCACCTCCCAGTTAAGACCCACTGGGTCAACTCACTGTGTGGATGACCCACAGACACCAAGAGGGATATCTCCAGGGATGAAACACAGGCAACAGCGATAAATTTGCTTCACACTCTTGTCCTATCTCGGGGATACTCAGATCCATATGACCATAGAAAAGAGATATTAAAAACAAAACAGATCCTCCATAGCGTAATCCTGCTTTTATTTGACATATAGACAAACAGAAAAGAAGCCAAATGCCCACTCACATATAAAAGAACAATACAAGCATTTTTCCCATATCATGGGAGTATACTCATGGTTTCTGATGCTCTGATCATGTAATTCCACAATGCCTCCAAGAAAATGGCGCCGACGTCGGAACCGACGCGTTGCGTCACGATCCACGTGACTTCATCAGGGTTGACCCTGATGAAGTCACGTGGATCGTGACGACGCAACGCATCCGTTCGTATTGACAGCATTTCCGGTAACGTAGTGACGTCATTTCCGACGTCGGCGCCATTTTCTTGGAGGCATCGTGGAATTACATGATCAGAGCATCAGAAACCATGAGTATACTCCCATGATATGGGAAAAATGCTTGTATTGTTCTTTCTCTTGTTCCCTCTTGGTGTCTGTGGGTCATCCACACAGTGAGTTGACCCAGTGGGTCTTAACTGGGAGGTGAGGAGCCATCTTGGGTCACTTGTGGATTTGTCTATACAACGTGTGGCACTGTGATCACCCTACATAGCTTGCTGTGTTTTTTGGTCACCTTATGTAGAAGTTCTTCGCCATGGACTTTCATATAATATTAATTATGGTTTGATTTATGTACACATACACTGTATCACTGCTATAAGTATTTATGTGTGTGTATTTATGACACCATTAGTCCCCTTTGCACCATTTATATATTGCAATATGTTAACCTGTCCTTAACTAGCAGTTAATATCAGCGCTCCACTATTTATATGTATTACTCTGGTTCCATTGAATTTACCTTGTGGTGAAGGTGAGTGTGAGCAGCTTATTATTAGGCTATCCATCCCCAGCGCAGGAGGCTTTTTTCATAGGTTCACTTTTATGTGCTGGATTCTTGGTGGAGAAAGAATAAATTAAGAGTTTTTTTTAGAAACCTCCAGTCTTCAAATTTCAGTGCAGAGTATATTATATAATAAAAAACATTGCAAGCTGTGGGTGAACAGAGGGGTTTTATATATGTCTCACTGAAAGAGCAAAAGATCCACTCCAGGTGAGTGCCGAATCTGCATAACCCCTCCACACACACGCAGGTCTGTAAAGAAAATAAAGCAAAAATGTCAAAAGTGTTCTAGAATGGAGTGGGGAGCTGAATAAGCACTTTTGAGTGAAGGTCTGCTTTAACTCTGACAGGGCACAGATTTATAAAGAAAAAGTGCAAACAGTGCCAGCCAGAACTCCTATCTTTCTCAGTGAGTAAAACCTGAATTGTGGTTGGTTGCTATGAGCAACAACATCACTTCAACTTTAGCCAGTCATTCATAAATGCTATAATAATAATACTTGGAGATTCATGATGTAAAAAACTACAACCAGAGTACATGCAAATTTGTTCATTATTATTTTTAAGTAACGTTTTTACCTTTTTGATGTCACAGTTGGGAGCCATTGACTTGCAGAGGGAGATGGACTGGTGTGTGGAACAGCTGGAAATAGGACTACAGCGACAGAAGTCCACATCCAAACAAGGTAATAACATTAGCTGATGGAGGATATACTTTGAAACCTAACTAGTTTTTACTGTTTCAATCGTTTTTATTAAGTTTACAGTTAGAAAAGATGATACAGAATGGTTTGAAGACCTACATTACAAAGCAGCATAAAGGTTGCAAGTAGCAACGCCTGACACAGGAAACGCTGACAATATGGTCTCAAAACATAATCAAAAGGACAAACATGAATGATTAAGCCGGTACAGCTAAAGACTGGGCTTTAGTCTCCATTATAAAAAAGAACACTAAATTAAGTAAACTACTTTAACCATTTGCCGCCCGCCCTATGGCCGAATGGCGGGCGGTGAATGTCATCAGCGTTCTGGGTGGACGCCATATGGCGTCCTTCCGCACATGCGCAGATTGCGCTCCTGCAGAGCGGCGCAATCTGTCACCGGCCGTGTACCTCGGACACGGCCGATCACAGATCTGAGTATCGGCCCCGTTGCCGGTACCATGTGACCTGCTGGGACCAATCACAGCAGGTCACATGACAGTTGTATACAATGGATGGCTTCATTCATGCCATCCATTGTATACTACTGCCTAGCTGTGAATGGTCACAGCAGATCACATGCACATGTCATGTGATTGGCTGTGGCCAAATCACAGCTAAGCACAAAAAAAAAAAAAAAAAAAAACCCTGAATGAATCTATTTCATTCAGGTAAATGCTTGCTTATAGCAAAGTAATTCTTTGCTATAAGCAAATTGTGTAAAAAAAAAAAAAAAAAAAAAATACTGATCACTTCCCCAAAGTAGTACAATGTTACTATGGTAACATTGTACTACTTTGGTCATAGTGAAATATAGAAAAAAAAATTTAAAAAAAGAAAAAAAATTTAATAAAGAATAAAAAATAGAAAAAAAAAATTTTTTTTTCATACTGTCACCAGTCAGTGTCCCTGATCACCGCCATGCCAGCTATATGATGACGCTGTACTGCACTGGTGACAATATGTAAAAAAAAAAATAGTAAAACTAATTTTTTTAATATTCAGAAAAATTATGACAAAAAAAATACAACTTCATAAAACTCGCCATGCCTCTTATGAAGTATGTTGGACTGTCTACTTTGCAAAAAGGGGTCATTTGGGGGATATCTGTACTATTCTGACATTCTTGGACCTCAAGAAATTAGATTGGCTGTCAGTACTTCAGGATTGATCAATTTTCAGATATATTCCATAGTTTGTGAACTCTATAACTTTCCTACAAACTAAAAAATACATCCTAATTTGGGTTATTTTCACCAAAGACATGTAGCAGAATACATCTCGGCCTAAATTTATGAGGAACAATTATTTATTTGCAAACTTTTATAACAGAAACAAAGAAAAACTTTTTTTTTTTCCAAATATTTGGTCTTTTTTTGTTAATTTAGCAAAAAATAAAAACCCCAGCGGTGATTAAATACCACCAAAAGAAATCTCTAGTTGTGTGAAGAAAATGATAAAATTTTAGTTTGGGTACAATGTTGTATGACCGCGCAATTGTCATTCAAAGTGTGAGAGCGCTGAAACCTGAAAACTGGCCTGGGCAGGAAGGTGTAAAATTGCCCGGTATTGAATTGGTTAAATATACTCCAAAAAAACCACACCTCTAAATAGAGAAGAAAATAGTAATTTTTTTCCCGCAAATTTTACCTAACCAGCTCAATGAGTGAAATTGAGAGTTTCTGCTTTGGCAAAATTTTGCAAACCGCAAAATCAATTGTGACTAAATTTCTCCACTAATTTCTAATAGTTTCATTTAAGTGCCACTAACTTGCCATGATTTTCCTGTACCCCAAAAATTACCTTTTCCTTGTTTTTTTTGTTATGAAGAATCATTTTTGATCCTGAGTTTTTCTTGCATAGTGGAAGAAGCAAAGCGTGCTATCAAGACGCTGCGTAGCGAGAAAGTGGCATTGGTCAAGAAACGGCAAGTGATGCGTATGATGTTTGGTGATTACCGACGCAAGATGGAGGAAGAGAGACAGAAACAGCTAAAGTTAATGCAAGCAGGTGGGTAACCCACTGAGATGAGTTGGAAAACCGGAGAGGGTGTATGGAGCAGTAGTCCGTTACAACCAATAGCAAATTTAAATTACATTCCCTGCAATTGCCTGCACCAGCAAAAGTTTGTGAACAATTCTGATTGGTCTATTTTTTTTCCCCTACCGTCTTTCAGGCCAGCACTCTGAGAGACCTCGGCTCCTCCCCATCTGAGGAAACACCTCCACCTACAATAAAAAAGCTCCACTCCCCTCTGACCTCAGTTCAGGTGTTTCCTCCGGTGGGGAGACACGAGGAGGCGCAGGGGACGATAGGGGAGCCGAGGGCCGGATAGCCGGCTGTGAGGCCCGACGCAGCCGGGAGTGAAGGCCGGAGTGTCCGGCTGCATATCCTCCCAGGGCAGGCTGCCAGCAGTGAGAGTGCATCCCGGGGGACGGGACAGGGCACTTACCTGCTCTTCGCCCCCCGACCCCCTCCGGCGAGGGGGGGTGTCGGGGGCCGTGGTGAGGTCTGGGGAGGATCGGGGGGAGTTCCGCTCCTTCCCATGCTGGCGGTCTGAGGGCTTTGCCGGGCCGGACGTCGGGAGACGGCGGTTTCCGGCGGAAGGGGCGGGGCTTCGCCCAGGGCCGCGACTTCCGCTTCCGGTCGCGGCCTTCACACCACGGCGGCGCGAAATTCGAATATGGCGGTGCGGTGCACAGCGGTCTGGGGGACAGACCTGCACCAGGCGACCACCCTCCGGTTCGGGATGTCGGAGGCACCGGGACCAGGAGATGCCAGCACCAGCCAGTCGCAGGTAAGGTGCCTCAGTGAGGCCTCCCCTACCTGTGGGCCCCTAGCAGAAGGTAGGGCAAGGGGTCTGCGGTTTTTCAGGCCCTTGTTGCTCTGCCGGGAAGCAGGGGGGGGGGGGGGGGGGGGGGTGTTTAGTGTCGGACTGATTGGGCTTCCCTCCTCCCCCCTTTTCTTTTGTGTCTTGCAGGGCAAGGCCCGAGCTAAACTTAGGCACCAGGAGCCCAAGCGGAGATGCCCTTCCTGTAAGGAAGTTCTAAAAGAATCTTGGCGAAAGGTTCTTTGTGGCCCATGTATACAGGGGTTGGTGAGGGAGGAGAAGCCGGAACAGGGGGACCTAGCTAGGTCAGTGAAGGAGTTGGCTACCACCTTCGACTCCTTCAAGTCCCTCATGGAGAGGTTTGCCCTCCCATTACCTACACTTCCCCCCCCCCAGGTGGCTTCGGTGAGTCGTCGGGAACCCCTTATGACTGGGGAGGAACCAGTGGGGGACTCCCAGTCTGAGGAGGAATCAGCGGGTGAGGGTCCCTCAGAGGAAGGGAGGGGCCCCTCCCGGTATAAGTTGACCCTAGAGGAGGTTGATGAGCTCCTGGGGGCTATATACGAAACCCTGGACATTAAGGAGGAGGTTAAGGCCTTATCTCTCCACGACCAAATGTATCAGGGATTGGAGGAGCACCAGCACAGAATGTTTCCTGTGCATGACATTTTGGTAGACACGATTAAGAAGGAGTGGCAAGACCCGGAAAGGAAACCGTTCTTCTCAAAAGCATTGAGGAGGAGGTTTCCGTTTTCGGAAGACCCGGAGGCGGTCTGGAACAAGAGCCCCAGGCTAGATGCGGCCTTTTCCCAAACAACCAGGAGAACTGACCTAGCGTTTGAGGACATGGGGGTCTTGCCAGACTTATTGGACAGAAGGGCAGAGTCTCTCCTTAGGAAGGCCTGGGACTCGACCCTGTACAACCTGAAGCCGGCCATGGCTACGACAGTGGTGGCCAGGAACTTAGAGTATTGGCTTACGCAATTACAGGCCCATATTGTGGCAGACTCTCCCAAGGAAAAAATCTTGGCCTCTTTTGAGACCCTTTTGCAAGGAGTGGGGTATATTGCGGATGCTTCCGCAGAGTCGGTGAGATTGGGGGCCAGGTCTGCTGCCCTGACCAATTCAGCCAGAAGGGCGCTGTGGCTAAAGACATGGCAGGGGGACATCACTTCAAAAGTTAGGTTATGCGGCATCCCCCTCACAGGAGACTGTCTGTTCGGCCCGGGGTTGGAGGAATTATTGGACCGGACAGCTGATAGGAAAAAGTCCTTCCCCCTCAAGAGGAAAATGCAGGAGGGGGGGGGACACGGAAGGGCCCGCCCGGCAAAGAGGCTGAGCCTGCGACCGCCTGGTCAGGGTAGGTCGGCGGGACAGAGAGGTAGGGGAAGAGGGGGAGCGATTTTTTCGCCCTCCTGAGCAGCCCCAAAAACCAAGGTGACTTGGTTCCTCCTGTGGGGGGAAGATTGGCGGCATTTCCTCCCACAGTGGGAAGCCGTGGTCACCAGCCCCTTCATTTTGGATGTCATCCGAAGGGGTTACCGGTTGGAATTTCTGAGACCGCCACCCGAGACTTTTCTGGTGACGACCCGTCCAAGGGATCCGACGAAGGACGCAGCTCTGGTGGGCGCTTTGGAGATTCTGGAGTCCCAGGGGGTCATCTCCAGGGTTCCGGTAGCGGAGCGAGGGAAGGGAGTTTATTCCCATGTGTTTGTGGTTCAAAAGCCGTCGGGGGCGTTCAGACTGATTTTGAACCTGAAACCCTTGAACAAGTCAGTGCGTTACGGAGGTTCCGCATGGATTCCATTTTTACGATCAGGTCCCTAATCCCACCAGGTGCATTCATGGCATCCATAGACTTGAAGGACGCCTACCTACACGTGCCCGTGGCGGAAGCCTCTCAGAGGTTCCTCAGGTTGGCAGTGGGGGGGGAGGAAGGGGTTCGACACTGGCAGTTCAGGGCTCTTCCATTCGGCCTTTCCTCCTCGCCAAGAGTATTCACCAAGGTTCTGTCGGAGGCACTGATTTCTATCCGCTTGAGGGGGATTTCAGTGGTGGCCTATCTGGACGATTTGCTGCTCTTCGCGGATTCAGAGGCTCACTTACGGCAAGACCTGGTTATAGTGAGGAACCATCTGGAAAGCTTGGGGTGGATTTTGAATCTGGAGAAGTCCTGCCTGGTGCCTTCTCAGAAGGTGATTTACTTGGGCTACACTCTAGACTCGGTAGACCAAAAGACCAGCCTGACTTTGGAAAAAGTCACCAAGTTGGAGGCCGGAGTCAGATTACTGCAGGGGAGCAGGTCGATGTCCATAAGACAGGCCATGTCGGTACTTGGATTGCTGACAGCGTCCATTCCGGCAGTTCAGTGGGCAGGTCTGCATATGCGTCCCCTCCAGTTGTGGATCCTGAGGGTTTGGGACAGGAAGTGTCACTCCCTAGAACGCAGGGTCTTGGTGCCCCCCAGTGTGAAAAGGTCTCTGTGGTGGTGGAGGAGATCGTCCAGCATAACTCAGGGGCTGTTGTGGTGCTTTCCGATTTCCGCGGAGGTCACTACGGATGCCAGCGCCAGGGGCTGGGGAGCCCACCTGGGAAATTTGGTGACTCAGGGGGAATGGTCCTTAGGGCAGAAGACAAATCCTCGAATTGGAAGGAATTGAGGGCAGTGTGGGAGGCTCTGCACTCCTTCCAGGCGGAGGTCACGGGCCAGCACGTGCGTGTCCTGACGGACAATGCCACGGCAGTGGCTTATATAAACAGGCAGGGAGGGACGCGGAGCAAGGCCCTCGGGGCCTTAGCGGCGACACTGTTGTCCTGGGCAGAGCTGAATTTGGCGTCCCTGTCTGCGATACACTTAAAGGGGGAGCTGAACCAGAAGGCAGACTTCCTGAGCAGGACTCGGCTCAGGGAGTCGGAATGGGCCTTGAACCCCGATGTCTTTCAGGAGATTGTGCGAAGGTGGGGATCCCCGGATGTGGACCTTTTTGCCTCCGGAAGGAACAACAAGGTCCCAAATTTCTTCTCTCTATCCCGCTGGGACGGGTCCAGAGCGGTGGACGCATTAGGTCAGAGGTGGGACTACCGGCTTTGTTACGCCTTTCCCCCGGTTCCTTTGCTCCCCCTGGTCCTGAGGAAATTCAGGACAGAGGGGACCTCGTTAATCCTGATAGCTCCCTTCTGGCCGCGGCGGGGCGTGGTTTGCGACCCTGAAGAGTTTGGCCTCTCGTCCACCCTGGGAGCTGCCTCCAAGAGTGGATTTGTTAACACAGGGGCCGGTTCTTTGCCCCAGCATAGGAAGATTGCGGTTAACGGCCTGGTTTCTGAGCAGCAGCTCCTCTTAGAAAAGGGGTTCTCGCCTAGGGTGGTGGCGACATTACTGGCCAGTAGGAAGGAGGAGACCCAGGCCATTTATGGTAGGGTCTGGGGTTGCTTTACAGCCTGGTGTGACCGGACAGCTGTGGCAACCCATAGTTTGGTTTCTGTGTTGGAATTCCTGCAGGCGGGAGCGGACAAGGGATTGTCTGTCAGCACGCTCAAGGGCCAGGTCTCGGCCCTCAGTGTGTTCTTGGAGACGCCCCTGGCCAGGGAGGCGTTGGTGAGTAGGTTTTTCAAAGCTCTGGTGAGGCAGAGGCCTCCGAGGTCCAGACCATTTCCAGTGTGGGATTTGGCCAAGGTGCTCGGGGGGATGACTAGGGCTCCGTTCGAGCCCTTGGAGTCCTGTCCGATAGGTGAGCTCACCATTAAGACTGCTTTTTCTGGTGGCGATTTACCACGGCGAGGAGGGTGTGTGAGATGGAGGCCCTCTCGATCAGAACACACCCTATCTCCGTATTTTTTCAGACAGGATCGTTTTCAGACCAGACCCGTCCTTCATTCCGAAGGTAGCTCGGAGTTTCCAGAGGGAACAGGACATTGTCCTTCCCTCATTTTTTCCTAACCCGGTGGGGGTAGATCAGGAGAGGTATCATTGTTTAGATGTCAGAAGGTGCGTTCTCCAGTATCTAGAGAAATCTAGGGAGTTCAGAAGCACCGAATCCCTTTTTGTTTTTTTTTAAGGGGGCTAGAAGAGGCAAGAAGGCGTCTAGAAGGACGCTGGCCAGCTGGCTGCGGCTGGCGATTACGGGAGCATATCAGGCAGAAGGCCTGGAGGTCCCGGAGGGTATCAAGGCACATTCCACCCGAGCTGTGGCGGCTACCCAGGCAGAGTTAGCAGGGGTTTCCCCAGGGCAGATTTGCAGAGCGGCAACATGGTCCAGCTATGACACATTTGCCAAGCATTACAGACTGGACCTGGTCTCGGTGCAGGAGCAGGACTTTGGTCGTAAGGTCTTACAAGCAGTTAGCCCGCCCGAAGGGTGAGTACTCGCTTATCCTCTCAGAGTGCTGGCCTGAAAGACGGTAGGGGAAAAACCAAGTTACACTTACGGTAACGTCTTTTCCAGGAGTCTTTCAGGCCAGCACCGGTTTCCCACCCACTGTTGATATTGGTTATGTGAAGATGGCTTATTGTGATTATGTTGTCTCGCATTGTGTCTCCCCAGATGACCGGAGGATGCTTGGAGAACTGAGGTCAGAGGGGAGTGGAGCTTTTTTATTGTAGGTGGAGGTGTTTCCTCAGATGAGGTCTCTCAGAGTGCTGGCCTGAAAGACTCCTGGAAAAGACGTTACCGTAAGTGTAACTTGGTTTTTTTTTTCTTTTAATCTTCTGACTTTTGAAAAAAATCTGCACTGTTGTTATGTACCACGTTTAATGTACGACAGATAGGTAAAACATTTTTTAAATTGTTCCACAATGATAACTTTGTGAAAATGCTTGCCCATGATATTGATAATCATTTTTGATTACTGACCTGAAACAAGTAGGCAGAATAGAAGTTCTGGCTTCCCTGTTGTACATACAGTACATGTTCCAGGTCAGTGACTAAGGATGTATTGAAGCCAGGCAGGAAGTATTTTCATAAAGTCAGCATTGGCAGCCTACATAAGTCTCTCTTTAGAGGTGAAAAAAAATAAATCAATGTGTCACTGATAAATAACCTGGAGATTCAAACTACGGATTGACATGTAAGGCTAGCCATTCACCATGGATGGAAGAATCGTCCTTGACGGCTGGCACCCGCGGCTGTCAGAATACCTGGACAGTGACTGCAACTGATTAGATGCAGCCACTGTTCAGCTGACTAATTTTCATCTGCTTCTTTGATTTTTAGATCTAAGGATATTGGAAAAGAGAAATCCAACAGGGCCAACCCATTTGAATTTCAGGCAGTTCGTTAGGAACCAGCCAAAATTTACTTTGCGTTTGAGCAGCTTAAAAGAGAAATGCGGGATATAAAAATAAAAAAAAAAAAAAAAAACATACTCACCTAGGTGAATGCAGTATCCATCTAGTGCTGCATCTGTCCCCCATCGCTTTTACATCAAGAACTGAGCGGTCAAAGACCACTGATTGCTCATTTCCTGGGTCTGCTCTGAGCTGAGAGCAGTGACAATCAGTCACCAGCTCTCTGCTCTGCCTCTCCAATGCTCACTGGAGCACCAGGCTTTGGAGAGGATGGGTGCAGCTGGCTCAGGATCTCACCAGCTTGCTGACAGGCTGTCAGTTGCCAGTCCAGGCATTTGGGTGGATCCCGACATTAAAGTCAGGATCTCTCCAGAGTCTACATTGGCTCTGTGACATCAGCTGACAGTAGGCTTTAGCCACAGAATGAAGTGCACTGCTACGATTCCCAAGAGTAGCAGGGCCAAAAAAGCTTTGGCCCTACTTCTCCTTTAAGCTCCTATGATAACAGAACACATTTAAATCTGTCTTTTGCCTTGACAGTAAAATGTATTTTAAATGACAATTCTTAGATGTAACTACTTTGCATCTGGGACAATTTTTAAATTTTTTCACACACATTTAAAATCAGCATTTTTGACTAGGAAAATACTTAGAACCCCCAAACAATATGGGGGGAGGCCACTTATCTCACCACTGTAAAAGCAATTGGGTGGCTGTAGAACCACCTGCATCACTTTCACTTAGAGGCAGCCTGTTCATCAGCACCATGACTATGCATGACACTAATTCAGGGTGGGTGGGATTTAGGGCAGCATTCAGAGGAGGAGTCCACTTCCATGTAGGCCTGTTCCACCTCCCACCCACTGCCATGTTGCTACAGTGTGCTGTGGAGAAAATAGGATTCTCTTGTGAAAAGCTGGAGGGAAGGGGGCAGTGGCGTCTCGAGGCAGGTGCGGGGGGTGCGGTCCGCACGGGGTGATACCGACCGCACGGGGTGACACCGAACCCGCTCCACAAAAAAGTAAGTTGTAAAGCAGCAAGCCGATGATCCCTGCAGGATGGATCCATCGGTTTTCTTTACAACTTACCTTTTCTTGGAGCAGGTCCGGTGTCACCCCGTATAGGTTGCATGCCGACGATTCTGCAGGGATCTTCGGCATGCAAACTATACGGGGTGACATTGGACCCACTCTAACAAAAGCTAAGTTGTAAAGAAAGCCGACGATCCCCGCACGATAGATTGGATCTGCGGATTGAGCATAATGGATCAGAGTCCGATCCATTATGCTCAATCCGCAGATCCGATCCATTCTGTGGGGGCCGTCGAAGAGGGTGTCATCGCACCGGGTGACACCAACCCTAGGGACGTCTCTGGAAGCTCTGGAAAGGGGGTACTGGGGATTCTGATATGCAAGGGACAGGATGGGGGGGGGGGAGTACTGTGCACTCTGAAGTACAAAGGATGGGGATAAAACTGAGGACTCTGATCAGAAAAGATGGGGGACAGTGAGGGTGACTAGGGACTCTGATGTGGAGGAGTGAAGCTGAGGTCTTGATGTAAAGGTAGGGGGACTGAAGACTTGATGTGAAAAGGAGGGGGGGAGGGCGGTCAGGGGGACTAGGAATTCTGGAATGAAAAAGAGATTTGATTTTACAGGGGACCCCATTTTGGGGTGCTTTGTGATTTTGCATAGTTTCAAAGGGGACCCAGGCTGAAAAAACAATTGAGAAGCACTGTACTAGACTAAAGCTTCCCATGCACATCTGAAATTTCACCTGATTCCTAATGAATCAGCAACAGTTTGGGCCATGAGTGGCCCTGTCAGCACCACCTGGGTTAGCCATAATCAGTTAAAAAAAACTTCTGAGCCTGGTAGAAAATTCTCGACCGAACAGTGACTACATCCAATCAGATGCAGTCACTGTTTGGGTATTCAGGTAGCTGTGGCTGCTGAATACAATGGCCAGTGCTGGAGACTCCTCCATCCATGTAAATAGATACTAGACTGACCTTAAAGATCTTTTACATCTACTTGGAGTTTTAGTTCCTCTTCTTGTCTTTACAGCTGCTAAATCTGCACGGGTAACTGAGGTGTCAGAATCCTCAAGACGGAAGAGCAGCAAAGTTTTCCGGAAGAGCGCACACCAGTCCAGCAGAGAAACTGGGCAGGACCTTCCCACTGACTCCCAAGACTCGCCTGCACATGCAGCTCCTAACCAAGGAGGATTTGTTTTCCAGTCATCCCAGGAGCCATTCTTTTTCAATTTCTTGTAATGAATGACCTCATGGGGGCATACAGTAGCTGTTACCTGCTCACCGATGGCCTACACCAGTGTGCCCCGCATCGATTTCTTTTGTTTAAAGGAGAGCTCCACCTTTTAATGTAAATACAAGAAAGCTGCAAGGGAAAAATTGTTCATGCATAGTATATCACTTGAGTGACAGCTCTGCATCTGCTGGGGATGCTCACATCACATCCATGATGGCAGTAGCAAACAGCAGTCTTCGAAAGGAGGCTTTTAAAGGTCATAAACACGCATAAAATAAATGAAATGCACATATAATCTTTTAGGAAAGTTTTTGTTGACATTATTGGTCTGGTGACTCGGTCTCTTCAACAGAGGTACAGCTCCTACCTGCAGAAGGGACAACGCATCTTGATGTATAGAACATTTTCCCTTCTCATTTTCTAGCCGAGCAACAATGTCCCGTGCAGATTTAGGATCATAATGACATACTACCAGGGATTACTACTGGACACTTATGAGCACTGAGCCATGTGACTGTGGGTCCTAGGTCCTACTGCTATCCCTGCATAGTCTTGGGAAACATGGTTTTGCAGGTATGCATGGGCAGTTCTTCGCTTGCAATTGAATAGGGTGAGACTACAGTTCTTCCTTAATTTCCTGCTGCAAATCTAGTTCAGCCAAAAGCACTTGTATAGCCATCAAGTGCCTTTTTTTCTTTTTTAATTGTAAACTTTTTGTTTTTAATAATTAATTGTGCAGTGAACGAGAAAATGGTGGACATGGTGGGGTTTATTTACCAAAACTGGAGAGTGCAAAATCAGACTCACTTCTGCATAGAAACCAATCAGCTTCCAGGTTTTATTACCAAAGCTTAATTGAACAAGCTGAGGTTAGAAACTGATTGGTTGAAATGCAGAGCTGCATCGGATTCTGAGTGCTACAGTTTTTTAGTAAATCTACCCTATTTGGTTATCCAAGTTATGTTTAGAAGAGTTATATATATAAAGGCCTTTATTTTGGTATTAAAAAAATAAGGCCAGTGTTTGGAGCACAATGTCCATGAAATGACTGAATAAAAACCTGAGAGTGTTACATTGTTGTCCTTAATATGAGTGTTGCGGTTTTTTTTTTCTTTCTGCCTAAAGCCAGCCATAAATGCATCGAATGTCTGCCAGTTCAGCAAGGACCGGCCGAGATCAGATCCATCTTTGGGCAGGTTGGTTGTACTGAAGTTGATCCATTGGTCGACTTCATTACAACTAGATTTTTTGCATGCAATCACTGCGGAAGGCTATAGCTGCCAGCAGTAATTATTGTGTTCTGCCGGCAGGGAAGGCACCCTGACAGCAGAACACAATAGCGCTGTGGGAGGGATTCCCCCATCAACACTGACTAAGTTGAATGATTGCTCTGCCAGCTCCCCACTGTCAGAATACAATAGCACTGTGGGGTATCCCCCATCAACTTAGCTGAGTGATTTTGAGGTTGCAGAGAATAAAATCCTATCATCTTTGGCTTGCCTAAGATATTCAAGGTTTTATAGTTCTAGAAGTATAAAGGTGTCCGTTTATGAACCAGCGGTAAATGATCTGGCATTCTCGGAGAACACAGTTCTCCTGTGAATGCCTTTTATGAAGCGGTGTAGATCAGTTCTCCGAACGAAAGGAGAACGGTCTACAAATGCTGGAAAACGGCTAATTTTACTATAATCTCACGAGATTACAGTAAAAGATCAGTTTACTAAGCAGAGGTGAATTATCTCTGCTTAGTTTCCGGTTCCTCCAATTCTCCAGCTCTGGGCTGGAGAATCTGGAGGGAGAACACAGATCTCCAGTGAAGGGCTGAACATGTTCTCTGCTGATCTCCTGAGTGTCATAAACTGTGAATGACCAGAGAATAGCTGCGATCCTCTGAATCGCAGTTATTCTCTGTGTTATAAACAGACACCTAAATTGGTTATGGATCTCCAATGGGGAATTTAAGAGGAACTGTCCCTCTGTTATCATGCCTACTTCATGATGGATATAAAAGCCCAGACACCCTGGAATACTTGCCTTTCCCATGACACTACAACATACCACAGCAGCTGGTCAGGTGATCAAATGCCTAGGCCTTTGACTACATGACCATTGCTGAAGGGGGTTGATCAGAACTTGGTTTGGCTGGTTTGCTAAAGAACTGTGTATCACAAACAGTTGATATATTTTGAGGAATAAATTCTTGTTTTCAGTTTTTTTTTTTTTTTTCTTCATCGTTTTGTACATGTTGGTGGTGCTTATCTCCTGCAGAAACTTCCTGTCCACATGCATAGCACTAATGGATAGAGAGAAAACAGGTGGCGCACACACCTAGTGCATTATCCAAGGTTTATTGTAGGAGTGAAAGAATAATAAAAACATACTCACAGACGAAGCATGTATCTAAAAAGCACGGCAGGCAAGGTGTTCTCACTGTCAGTGCGGTCAAATGGCTGATGCGTTTCGAGGACGAATCCCTTTCCTCAGAGCTGATGACCAACCTCTGATGCTGATGTATGATGAATGGAGAGTAAGAGCCTTGCTGTTGATGCCTTAGTGGGATGGTGTGGGAGTGTGCTTTATGCCTGTGGGGAAATGGCCATCAGAGGTTGGTCATCAGCTCTGAGGAAAGGGATTCGTCCCCGAAACGCGTCAGCCATTTGACCGCACTGACAGTGAGAACACCTTGCCTGCCGTTGTGGCCATTGTCATTTTTCTATGCTTTTTAGATACATGCTTCGTCTGTGAGTATGTTTTTATTATTCTTTCACTCCTACAATAAACCTTGGATAATGCCCTAGGTGTGTGCGCCACCTGTTTTCTCTCTATCCAGTGGCTGATTTCCCCATCTGAGGAGGGCTGCACCCCTGGAGCATTTCCTTTGGTTGTCGCTGTCCTGGTACCCTTGGCTTCCCTTTTGGCTGTGCATATCCTGAGGCGCTGGAGAGTACATACAATAGCACTAATGGATGCATGGCATGTTGACAACTGAGCGACGTGTCTTCAAATGTCCACTCGTAGACCTACTCTAACAATGTATTCTTTTAATAAAAACTGTAATTTAAAAAAAATTATATTTAAATATACTTTAATTTCAAAATGTTTACTATGTGCAATGTAGTATGCTTTTATTATTTGTTACTGATACATTAATCTTCCTACACCAAAGAAAACAGAATAGGTTCACCTGCTGCACACAATACACATAATGGAGACAAAACTGTCAATCAAAAACATAAGGCTTCCTAAGCCTCGCCCTCCTCCTGCAAAAGGGGATGTGATAAGCAGACAAGGAGCAGTCTGTGTGGTATGGCAGAAGGACTACAGCAGAGGAGACATACAGACCAAGACTTGATGGGACACACCAATAACTTGGAATAGTAACAGTCACTGGACAAACCGGATATCACTCACAATAAAGCAAATTTTATCCTGCAATCAACACCAGCCTATGTGATCCTGACCTGGTTATATATATTTTTTTTTTTTCTAAAGAAATACTTTTTTTTTGGTAAATTAAGGATTCATTATAAACATTTTGTACATTTCAGCTGCTTGCAATAAAAAGGAAGGAGAAAACGGTTATATTTTTATAGCTTTGGACAGTGGACTTTAATTCAAAGTTAAATTTGTTTACATAACTGAAAACACTTCTTACTTTCCTGATTTTGTTCCATTGAAAGTTGATCCTTCTGATTTTTTTGTGGTGCTAGAAAAAAAGTGACAGAGAAATCTGTTTCCATAGAGTTTCTCCAGGAAGAAAAGAAGAAGAATATGGATGAAGTGTGGATCTTGTCCCTCTGTCTCACTTTATTTGCCCTTTTCCTTTTTATTTTGACCTTAAAATCAAAAGAACCAGTGCCCGAAAGCATCAGCAAGAAATCTGCCCCCAGTACTCCTTCTTATGTCAGCTCTGGTGGACGGAGCCTGGAGCTCGAAGAAGAGGATGTAGACAAGATGATGGAGCGGCTAAATAAATTGCTGTATCAAGATGAACCTAAGAAGAAAGAAGTCCCTCAAGAAAGGAAGAAGCCTGTTGTTCAGGAGAAAGCCCCAGAGTCTCCTCTGCACATTAAAGACTCGGAAAGTGCTCCTGAAACTCAAGAACCAGTGGGCAAAGGGCCAGTGCATACCCAGCCTGCCTACCAGCCGAGCCATCACAGGGTTCAGGTATGGGAAAAGGCCAGGAGGAACAGTCCAGTCAGCATGAGCACTGAAACTTAGACCAGAATTAGCAGCTCATGAATTATATGTGGATATAAATAACACTTGAGCTACAAAATCATTGTCCAAATGTGGGGTTTGATTTAATGATTTCTCTTTTTTAATGTTTCCTCGGTCATCAGTTGCTAATGTATTTTTAAATGTCTTAGGATTTGCTTAAAGTATAGCTTAACTCTAGAAAAAAAATGAATACATTGCAACTTACCACTTCATTCGTTTTCTTTATGCAGGCCATTTTCTGTAAGTACAACAAACTTGTTGGGGATCGTACCTGAAACCTTATGTCCTTGTAACTTCCCGTGCACTGCACTAAAATCTCAAACAATGTTAGTCTTTCCAGTTCTCCCATGCAGACTACAGAACACCTCCCCACTATCATATGAAGATAAGGAGTATAGGAAGGTTTCTGTAGTCCTAACACACTTTCTGTCCTAGGGTGACAACTCTGCTCTTCCTTATGCTGGGAGAATTTTGTTTGAAAATGTTTGTTGTTGGAACATTCTTTTGATTTTCCAATGGGTAGTGCAGCCAAATTGGCAGTTGTTTTGACCATACTAATAGAACAGAAAATTTGAAGAAGGAAATTTTTCTTGAATTAAACTTCTTACTGAATGTGAATTTTGTTTGGGAAAAATTAAAATTGTACATATTGTAAAGTTCATATTCCAGGCACAAAAGAAACATTTTTATTATGTAAAGCGCTGCATAAATTGACAGTTCTATAGAAGTGCCTGAAATTCCTTTCAAGTGGCAGGGCTGGAGGAAATGTGAGGGGATTTGAAAGAAATGAGCTGATTCAGTGATGACTAGATTGAATGCTCTGAAAAAACGATTTACAGAATTTCCATGTAAGTGAAATTCTATTGCTGTTTAGCCTGCTTTAGATACAGTACATTGAGCAAGTGTTGTTACGCTAGGGTAGGAAGAGTATTACTGGGAGGATCAAAAGGTGAAAATTAAAGAAAAAAGCCAAAAATTCAGCAACCACATCTAAGGAATTTTTGCATTTGGGTTTAGATACACTTTGAAGGATAGCAGTTTAGAAAACTTTTACAAAAATGGAACCAGTCTTAGATTTAAAGGCCAATTCTGATAAGCTGAAGTACCCCTTTGGGGCAAAAACAAGCTGGTTCCATCATTTGATGGCTCTTCGTATTGCTTGAGAAGCTCACTGGGCAGTTTTGTAATGGGTTATAGCGCACAAAATAGATGTTCAACCCTCTGAATCCCTAAAAGGTTTAGGAAACAGTTGGGTGATTCAGTCAAACTGGGTCTACCAATACCTAAGATATAGGTCCAGTGATCTTCACACAGCTGCTGTTGGGGAAAATGGTTGCTATTCATATGTATGTGTGTATAATGATTCGCTAAACAGGAGAATTTATTGTGTGGTCTTCAGATGGCTTCCTAATTGTTTTTTTGGCTCTTTCCTGCTGGTCCCCTTCTCACAGTGGTTTTCATGCAGTGCACAATCGCATTATACAGCTTAAGTTCAAACAAACCCCAAAGGTGGCCACATATTGGAGCTTATTCCTAAAAAAAATTTAACAGTATAAGAGCAAAGTGCATTATTCATAATAACCATTCAGAACCGTCCTGTTAGTGGTTTGCTTCAGCAAACAGAATTCCTATTTGCTAAGGCTTTCTATACTTTTCCATTCCATAGCTTGCTCTGTGCACCATTTATGGTACGAGGTTGGAATTGATGGATGGAAATCTTTTATTGCAAAGCTGTTTCTTTTATATATTGCAGTGGTCTGGGGACTGGATGTGACCGTTCGCTTGCTTTTATCTGGCCCTTGGGGCACTATTGCTCTCACTGACACCAACAATGGGCCATAATTCCTGATACCAACAATAAGGCACTATTCCTACCCATGACCCCAACAATGGGGCACTATTCCTCCCACTGACACCAACAGCAAGGCACTATTCTTCCCATTGGCACCAGTGATGAGGCACTATTCCTTGCACTGATACGAATGATGGGGCACTATTCCTCCCACTAATACCTATGATGTGGTACTATTCCTCCCACTGATACCTATGATGGGGCACTATTCCTCCAACTGCAATCAATGATGGGGCACTATTCCTCCCACTATTCCTCCCACTGATATCAATGATGGGGCACTATTCCTCCAACTGCAATCAATGATGGGGCACTATTCCTCCCCACTGATATCAATGATGGGGCACTATTCCTCCCACTGATATCAATGATGGGGCACTATTCCTCCCACTGATATCAATGATGGGGCACTATTCCTCCCACTGATACCTATGATGGGGCACTATTCCTCCAACTGCAATCAATGATGGGGCACTATTCCTCCCACTGATATCAATGATGGGGCACTATCCTCCTCCCACTGATATCAATGATGGGGCACTATTCCTCCCACTGATATCAATGATGGGGCACTATTCCTCCCACTGATATCAATGATGGGGCACTATTCATCCTACTGATACGAATGATGGGGCACTATTCATCCCACTGATACCTAGGATGGGGCACTATTCCTCCCACTGATATTAATGATGGGGAACTATTCCTCCCACTGATACCTAGGATGGGGCACTATTCCTCCCACTGATACCTATGATGGGGAACTATTCCTCCCACTGATACCTATGATGGGGAACTATTCCTCCCACTGATACCTATGATGGGGAACTATTCCTCCCACTGATATCAATGATGGGGCACTATTCATCCTACTAATACTAATGATGGGGCACTATTCCTCCCACTGATATCTATGATGGGGAACTATTCCTCCCACTGATATCAATGATGGGGCACTATTCCTCCCACTGATATCAATGATGGGGCACTATTCCTCCCACTGATATCAATGATGGGGCACTATTCATCCTACTAATACCAATGATGGGGCACTATTCCTCCCACTGATATTAATGATGGGGAACTATTCCTCCCACTGATACCTAGGATGGGACACTATTCCTCCCACTGACACCAATGATGGGGCACTATTCCTCCCACTGATACCTATGATGGGGCACTATTCCTCCCACTGATATCAATGATGGGGCACTATTCCTCCCACTGATATCAATGATGGGGCACTATTCATCCTACTAATACCAATGATGGAGCACTATTCCTCCCACTGATATTAATGATGGGGAACTATTCCTCCCACTGATACCTAGGATGGGACACTATTCCTCCCACTGACACCAATGATGGGGCACTATTCCTCCCACTGATACCTATGATGGGGAACTATTCCTCCCACTGATATCAATGATGGGGCACTATTCCTCCCACTGATATCAATGATGGGGCACTATTCATCCTACTAATACCAATGATGGGGCACTATTCATCCCACTGATACCTAGGATGGGGCACTATTCCTCCCACTGATACCTAGGATGGGGCACTATTCCTCCCACTGACACCAATGATGGGGCACTATTCCTCCCACTGACACCTATGATGGGGAACTATTCCTCCCACTGATACCTATGATGGGGTACTATTCCTCTCACTGAAACCAATGATGGGGCACTTTTCCTCCCACTGATACCAATGATGGGGCACTATTCCTCCCACTGATACCTATGATGGGGCACTATTCCTCCCACTGATACCTATGATGGGGCACTATTCCTCCCACTGATACCAATGATGGGGCACTATTCCTCCCACTGATACCAATGATGGGGCACTATTCCATCCACTGATATTAATGATGGGGAACTATTTCTCCCACTGATACCAATGATGGGGCACTATTCCTCCCATTGATATCAATGATGGGGCACTGATACCTATGATGGGGCACTATTCCTCCCACTGATACCAAGGATGGGGCACTATTCCTTCCACTGATATCAAGGATGGGGTACTATTCCTCCCACTGACACATATGAAGGGGCACTATACCTCCCACTGATATCAATGATGGGGCGCTATTCCTCCCACTGATACCTATGATGGGGCACTATTCCTCCCACTGATACCAATGATGGGGCACTATTCCTCCCACTGATACCAATGATGGGGCACTATTCCTCCCACTGATACCAATGATGGGGCACTATTCCTCCCACTGATACCAAGGATGGGGCACTATTCCTTCCACTGATATCAAGGATGGGGTACTATTCCTCCCACTGACACATATGAAGGGGCACTATACTTCCCACTGATATCAATGATGGGGCGCTATTCCTCCCACTGATACCTATGATGGGGCACTATTCCTCCCACTGATACCTATGATGGGGCACTATTCCTCCCACTGATACCAATGATGGGGCACTATTCCTCCCACTGATATCAATGATGGGGCACTATTCCTCCCACTAATACCAATGATGGGGCACAATTCCTTCCACTGATACTAATGATGGGGCACTATTCCTCCCACTGATACCATGAATGGGGCCCTATTCTTCCCACTGATACCATGAATGGGGCATTGTTTACTTCCATTAACACCAGGGCATTTTCTACTCTCACTGGCAACAGTCCAGCCCCCTCAATCTTAAGGACATTAAACTGGCCCTTTGCTTAGAAATTCTGGAGATACCTGATATATTGATTGTTCGATTTTCATGCAGTGTTATCATGTGTATATGATGATGATGAGTCAAGTGTCAGTCTTTTCATTCAAAACATCCACCCACATTATATTAACCTTCCCCCACAGCACCATTCCTCCTCAAACCTCCAGTGTCGGAGCTTATACAATTTGATGTCACCACTTCTTACATCTGACCGAACGAATGGATTCGGTCACATGCACATCCATACCCAGGAACATTTGGTATTTCTTCAGTAGCACTGACAGAGCAGTGGGGCAGAAGGAAAGGTTAAAGCAGAAATCCAGGCAAAAATATTTTTGAACCATATACTGGGGCTGTGCCCACTGCATGGGCTAAAAACTGCTCCTTTTTGCATAGGT